GTATTTCCTCTCTACTCACCGTCTAAAGGGACCCTAAGTTCACATCCCGGTCCAGGATGACTCAGCTGTCTCATACCACAGGGCTCGATTGAATCTCAATACTATGTCAACTATTTACCCACGAAAGCCTCAGCGAGTCTCCAGACTATTCCAGGAGGGTCCTGGCATGAGGATGTTTGGACAATCCCACTAATGAGCGAGTGTTTTTGCTACCGCTTTTTGTTGACAAGCCAACGGTGGTCGTCCAATATATGCACTCCCCATCTCGCCATGGGAACATTGAATTTCCACCTCTGGCTGAGGACCGCCCATCGAGATGCGGGTCATCCCAGTGTACTCCTTTGAAGTGGGGAGACATTCTGATCTTTGATTTGTTCGATTACCAAACAACTTATCCATTTGTACCACTGGGTAGATTATTGCGGTTGAACTGAATTCAGCTCAGCCATCAACCCCAAGCTACCCCGCTAAATAGGAGCTGCATTCAGTTCCCCAAGAACCCAAGAAGCTCCCAACGCTTGGAGTGAAACGATGAAAGTGGTGCCAAACAAACGCGTGGTACGACCCCGAGAACACATGCAACAAAAGCTCAATTTGCATTTAATAATTCGCTAAACTACCCACGTAGGTTTTATAATTATAGAACGTTAGGCTCCGCGCCAACAACACATGCCCCATCACCCTAGCTACCCCCCCACCCCCCACCCCGCCCCTTAACTTCTTTAGCATGTTAAGAGGAACCTTCGGAGCCTCTTCCAAAAAAGACCTTCTCTTCGTGCCACCACTGTCTTCCATGCGTGTTCGTACGTGCGTGCGCATTGCCTCTGTGTAAACCAATTTGGTGTTCCGTGTACACAAACAACTGTCTTGTTTCCTTGAGAAACTTCCGAACGGGCGATTAGGAGATCTGATAGGGCTCTCACATCAACATTGGCTTAAGGTAATGGCCCATCAGTCGGTGGCTCGCGTGAGATGGGCGATGAGGGAGGATGGAGTTAGCGATTGGGGGGGGGGGGGGTGGTTTGTCAGGGGATTTAGGATGGAGGTTTGGCAAGGAGGAGGAGGGGGGTGAGTGACTTAGTGTGCGTTGTGCGGGGATTATTTGAGGGGCATAGAGGTCACAGAAGGGACATAGTTCAAGCTGGATTTTTTTTTGAAACGCTTGTTTGGCTTACGTTAACATGGGTATTGTATTGTTAGCGAGCCCTTATGAAAGGGAAACTTGCACGTTTCTCCCTAATGGTCTCAAATTTTAGATTGAACAATATTTATGGAGGTGCCACTCACACCACGACTGTCGGACGGACCTCCCCTAAACGGAGCTCTTGGGTGCTCCCTCTGTATTCTGACGTCTTGGAGGAAGTGGGAATACCCACACTTTACCCCACCACACGCATCCTGCCAAAACGACCCTTTTATGCTGCTGCGTGGACAGAGAGACCAATACAATAAATGTGGCCCACAGTTTATTCTGCCGTGGTGGGAGATTATACACGCTACCCCTTGATTTTATCATTCCTGTTGCACTCACCATTCACACCACTGTGGAAGCATCGCACGTTCCTGTTCACACTCTAACTTCGTGTATTATGCTCAAGATGAAATGTGTTACATTTAGATGAAGCACCAACATCCAAATTGTCTCCCAGGGCTTTAATCGCCACCCTTGGCGGCTCTTAGCCAGTGGTAGAAATGCCACGTTCCTGTGGGGCTGCTCAGTTGTATCCGAATTGCAGCCACTAATCGCAACCTGGGACTCGGTACACTCCGAAAAGGATGATACTCAGATGGGCTCAGTCGATATCCTCCTCCTCCTTGAAGGGGATATAAACTCGTAACCTCCTGATTGTGAGTCAGATGCTCTGAACACAGCGCTGCACGGCCGAACACAATATTTGTCGTCGTTCCATCCTCTTTGGTTCTTTCAGTAAAGTCACGTAGGTATAAAATAAAATAAATCACGACGTTTCGGGCGTAACACAAGCGTCCGTCATCAGGTGGGAAAGCATGGTCTGCTGCTGAGGCAGACTGTTTTAACAGGTTTGAAATGGGTGTAGCCCAAGGGTCATGAAGAGAAGTGGCCGGGGCTAGTGATTTTAACGTGATAAATTAGCATGTAACTGTAGAAAATAATTTCGATTTAAAGCTTTCGTGACTGCAGGGATTCAGCTTCTTGGTTCTTTTGGTAAAGTCACGTAGAAGGGAAATAATAAAATAATAAAAATAAAACATAATAAAATACAAGAATTTATTATGGGAAAGAATACAATAATAATAAAAATCAAACATAATAAAATACAATTATTGTATTTTATTATGTTAATTTATTATTATTTTATTATTTCCCTTCTACGTGACTTTACCGAAAGAACCAAGAAGATGTAGAAAAGAAGGAAAGCGACCTCCTAGACGAGGGCACGGAAGTGGCTATCGTCGTCCCCTCCGTTGGCTGCACCTGGGAGATACGTCCACGGTGGAGACGGAGCAGTGAAATCAGCTGGGTTGCAGGTGTGAAGTAAATGATCAGATCGGTCGATGAATGCTTCCAACGGCTTGGATGATGATGATGGTGACGATTAATGTTCTGCAACCTGTTCTAAAAGTAGGCATCATACTTGTTGTTTTGTTGGTTTATTGCACCGTATTTTACGTTCCTTGTTTAAATTATCTCATGCATGAATGTCATCCCTTCCTAGAATTACATTACGAGACGGAGAAAGCAGCACGTGTAGCATTGGAGGATATACGCAGATTAAAGATATAATTTTGACTGCTTAAGAAAAGAACGTTTCTTGACCATATATTATGTTCCTTTTAGATTTGAAGTTTTCGTAACTGCAAGGATCCATACTCTTTAGTTCTTTCGGTAAAGTCACGTAGGTACTGGGATGTAACGATCCACCCAAAAAAATAATTTACTTTTATTATTTTTTACCTACGTGACTTTAACGAAAGAACCAAATAGTATTATGTTCCTTGTTTAAATAAGCCTATGCATAGATGTCATTCTTCCATGGAATTACATTAAGAGACAACGAGAGGAACACGTATGGCATTCGAGAACATACACAGATTAAAGACATCATTTTGACTGTTTAAGAAGAGTCAGTGGGCCTGGGCAGAGCAACATCGCATGTGCGGATGATGTCCAGTGGGCTAGAATAACGCGAGAGTTGGAGCAAAGGGAGAGGCACGTCTTAGAGGGAGAGAGAGAGCACGTACTTCGCGGAGATGGAGTAATGAAATCAGCTCTAGTGCAGGTACTGGGTGGATCGTTCCATCCCAGGACGGTGAGAAAGGCCAACAGCTTTGGGGGGACTTACTTCATCCAGCAGTGGTTTGATCATGGGTGGTGACGATGATGATGAATCAAATTTCGGTCTTTTTTTATATAAATTCGTATTTTAATTGAATGTACCCCGCGTCACAACAGGCTGGTCTGCATAGGCTCCTTACACTTTGTCATTACATTTTTTTTTATGTATTGTCTCAATTATGGTCATGTCAATTCCTAGAAATGCCACATTGCCACCGCGGGAACATCTCGACGTCACTTCTTATAGCGTGACAACATTCTCGTTTAATCGCGTGGAGCTTTGGCGCTGGTAATCCGGCGAAATACGTTCCGTTCCCGGTTAGCGGCGAACATCAGTCGCGACTCGAAAGTTTTGTTTACAGTAAATATTTGAACCAAACCGCGAATTCACCATAACAGCCCCTGTCACCAACCCGCTCGGACCGGCGTGGTGAAGTATGGTCCAACAACTCCCATGAACGATACGACCTGGATTTGAACTCCACGACCCTTTCTGGGCCGAGTAGTGCACCTACAAACAAGCACACACAAAACAACCGTACAGCCCCTTTTGTCGATCCACAACTAGATATTTTGACCATACTTCACCCCGCTGGTCGATGCGAGACAAAGACGGCAAGACAGCCCAGCAATGGTTCAGATGAAACTCTCTCCACCGATGTTGGCCGTGGCCTGGAATCGAACTGGTGCGGCCAGGTTCACAGCGCAGCGCGCGAATCACCGTCCCACCCCACACAGCACGTGTGTGAATCGGGTCAAGGTGCAGCCTTGCAATAGCTTTGCTCACTCCACTGCTGGCGACAGGGACATGCGTTCCGGGGGAACTCCCAGAGGGCATTTTGCGACCTGACGATCTGCTGGGTGGACAGAGACGGCGATGGGTGAGTGGGGTGGGCGGCGGAGGTGACGGTGGGATGAGGCATTTTGAAGAAATCTGCCCATTAATTTTAACTGCCGCGCCTGGAGATGGAACCCGCGACTTTACGCACGGCAAGTTCGGAGCGCCAGCCCATAACAATCCCCGACAGGTTGTGTGAATGAGCGCTATAATTATTATGCTAAGCACTCCTGCACCGCCCACTGTGTGTGTGCGCGTCCTGTGTGTGTGTCCTGTGTGCCTGTGTGTGTCTGAGAGAGAGAGAGTGGGAGATGCGTGGGGCGAGCGGTGGCGCAGCAGTTAGCGACAACTGCGCGGGTTCGATTCCCGCTCGCGCCCAACACCGGCGACGATTATATTGCACCGGCCCTGGGCCTCCCCTAGGTCTACTCAGCCTCAAGTGAGTACCTGCCGCGACGTGTAAAAACATCGCCACGTGGGGAGACAAAGACGGATGTGCGTGGTGGTAGTGATGGTGGTGGTGACGGTGACTCCCACCTCGTGTTGCCATGCCAACCTTCCATAGGTGCTGCTGCTGCTGCTACTCGCGAGCAAGCACTTGCCCCACCCGCCTGTCGAGGCTACACGGGGGACCTTTGTCTTTGCGCGCGTGCGTGCGTGCGTGATGTTTCGCGGCATCCAATCGTCGTCATCATCTCTCTCTCTCTCCGCTTCCATCAACCCAACCCCGGCGCAGCTCTTGTGGCTCTCCCCTCCTGCCACCTACACGTTTTGCCTCCACCCCACGGGCAGTTCGTGTTAGCGGGGGGCTGTATTTAAACCTCACGGAGTCTGAGCGCACTCGAGTTGCACACACACGCACGCACGGGTGCGCCGTGGCTACGTGCGCCCCCTGTCAATATTAAGGCACTCGCCGCTGTCGTTGTGGCATCAGACCCTGAACCATCAAAGCCCTGCATTGGACAAGGTACGTCAACAACAACAACAACAAAACAGCACTCGACACGGGCAAAGACACGCACAGAATCACACGTTGACACACACACACATCCACACGTGTGTGAAATTAGCGCTGCGTATGCTTTAACTTTACTAGAGCCAAGGATATTATTTTGAATGGAAGAATTCAGGGGAGCTTTCGCGTGGGTGGACTTGTCCTGCCATGGGAATGTGGAATTCGTAGCAATGGTTAAGGGATTGCTTTGGATATTATGCGAAAGCCGCGTTCGGGCGTGGATATACGGTTTTGTTTTATATCATAGACCTCAATGCGGACTAAGATTACTACATATATAGATGGGGCGATCCACTTACCGACACCCCACTAATATAACAGGGGGATAAATTAAAAGAGAAAACGGCATTTGACGTCAACTCCTCGACACGTCTCTCACCAATCTCTACACGTGCACACTTTACATCGCTTAAACACTCGACCCTAAGATACCGAGACATCGCTTTCACAGTGCAGCTTTCGATCAAAATCACCTGTTGAGAAGACAGCCGTTCTTAGACAGTGGTGTATCTATAAATGGATCACGCTGTATTATTAGTGTCGTTAACAGGCACGCCACACCTAATAACATTGGGAGGTCTATTTTTTGTTTTGTGTTTCAACCGCGGTTAACAACGATAATATAATGCGATATGCAGTGCCATGTGTGTTTGCGTGACTTGGGACTGCCGGCTCTGTGTGGTTTGCATTGTGTGGTTAGGGGATAGGGGGGAGGGTGGTGGTGGTGGTGGTGGTGGGAAATATATATTAAAAAATAATTACACATGACAGAATATATTTAGGAGCCCGAGTGCCGTGCGTGGGCGTGCGTTCTTGAGCCGAGTTACAAAAAAAAGTGTCTTGTGGCAGTGTGTGTTCGGCATGTGCGTATTGCAGTGGTGTGTGTGTGTGTGTAGCACGAACGTACAAAGACAAATATCCCTCTCCCCGCCGTGTAGCCTTAACAGACTGTTGGGGCAAGTGCTGTTAGCGAGCACCTTATGAAAGCCGGCACGGCGCACGATGGGATTGGGGTGGCCAGCACCACGCCCGACCGCCTTTGTCTCCCCGGTGGCGATGTTTACACATCGCACCGGGTACTCATTTGAGGCTGAGTCGATCTAGGGGAGGCCTAGGACCGGTTCAGATAATCGTCACTGGTGTTGCCCGTGAGCGGAAATCGAACTTGAGTGGCCGGGTTCGTAGCACAGCGCGCTAACCGCTGCACCACCGCTCCCCTCACACACTCAGCTAGACACATTAAACTAATTCCGCTTACTCTTTGGTTCTTTCTTTATACCTACGTGACTTTACCGAAATAACCAAAGAGTATGGATTCCTGCAGTCACGAAAGCTTCAAATCAAGACGAATTCCACTTATTATATCAATCGACCATTGAACGAACGCCTGCCTTAGTCGGTCATGAAGATAATCTGACCATACTTCACCACGCTGGGTAGTGCGTGTTGGTGAGGGGGGAAGGGCGGGGTGGGACCGGTTATGATATCACGTTACCACTGATGTTAGCAGTGGTCGAGAATCGAATTCGGGTTGCCGGGTTAATAAGCGCAGTGCGCTAACCACTGTGCCACCGCTCCTCCCCGCTAGAGGTAACGTGTGTGTGTGTATATATAGATACAGCGGCGTTCATCTTCATGTTATTCGGAATATTGGTGAAGTTGCGTAACCTCGGTTGGGGAGGTCCTGAGTAAGGTATCGAAGATTCCACATTGCCGTGATGGGGTCGAGTCTGTTCTTTGCATGGGGAGCATCTGCTTGTGGTTTCCCACAAAGCAAGCAAAGTGGCACTCGTTGTTTTACTCTGACGGTCAAACAACACTCACGCATGGAATTGGCGAAAAAAAGAAACATCCCAAATCTGGAACATCCTGCAAGATGAGTTCTGAGACTTGTTGAGTCTTTCCTGGACAAATAAAGGAAGTTATTGTTAAGCGTTACTTATTATATCCCTCTCGGAGGGATGAAACGGGGCTGAGCCGACCCACCAATCAAGATTTGAATCGCGCAAACTTCAAAGAGCTCCAACCACAGTGTTGCGTAAGTTATCATCTATTCTTCATCAGGCGTGATCAATCCACCGCTGGATTAAAGGCGTCCCTCGACAAATAAGCGGCATCATTTACGATCATGTGATGCAGCAATTCCCCTAGCACGTGGCGGGATGTTGACTACCTCGCCTGGTGTGCAGGAGGTCGTGGGTTCGATTCCGACCCTGACGCCTGCTGCTGTATATTTGGAGTTTGCATGTTCCTCTCCACGTGGTCACGAGAATATTTCTCCGGGACCTCCGGTTTTTCCCTCCACATTTAGAATCAACGTCACGCGTTCACAGTGTTCGGCTGCTCTACATTTCCATGTGATACGCCACTCCGTTGAGCTACCTGGTAAAATAAAAAAATAGTTTATAGTTTTTTTTAAATCGCTCTATCTCCTTGGCGGACGTCCTATCAAGCTCGTCCCCTGTTCCCCTCGACTACCACTCAGTCATTATCCTTGACTACCGGCCGTCAGCATTTATAGCCGCGAGCCTGCTTCGAGTCCACTATCCTCGCAGAGTGCTTGTTGATGACATCAGCTCATGCGCAGATGCTCGGTGGATGATTCACATCGCAGGGTCGTGAGATGGTGGAGGCTTGGAGAGGCCTTCATCCAGCAGTGGAATGACCACGACCGGCCCCGATTATGATTTCATATTAAAACACACAACGAAACAGGTTAATCTATACTGGCAATCCTGAATACGTTATTGCAATTCCACATTCCCTTCACGGCGACCAATCTCTACATGTAAAGTTGAACTTGCAAATGATAATATTAATTCGCATGTATTGAACACGGCTTTGCAGCAGCGCCTATTAGGAACACGTGTAGCCAGTTTGCCTTGTGGAGATTGAACAAATTATTTTGGTGACACTGCGTTGGTAATCGTGCACAAGCGGAGATAAACAAAAACTTGACACATTCTCCAATAACACTGCACTTATACGTGAAATATATGGCAACATTTCAAGCAATGACACTTCTCAAAAGCACGTGCTGCTGTATAGCCGTTTTTTATGCGCGACGAAGAAACGGGCGTAGCTCGAAACGCACCGTTTTTGACCAATTTGTTCAAACTTAAAAAAATATTACTGCGGGATACCGTGGGCTCGGATGTGACACGTGCTTGCATGAGCTGTGTCTGACACTGTGGCTGCCTCGCCTCGAGCGTGAACAACGAACTGAATAATCCTAAAGGTGCTTTGTTCTACACCGAGAATCTCTGCCATTAGGAATTCTAAAATTACTTTTGCCTCTCTCTGGGTTTCGGGAATTAACAAAAGGCCAAGAGGATCCTAAAGGTGCCTTCACGTACCTCCCTGAACTTCGGGCATTAACAGTGCACCTTAATACGAGACCAGTCAGTACGTCTGTGTTGGCGCTATTGTATAACAGCTGTAATATGCACGCTGATATTGTGCACTTCTGCGTACTAGTTTATTTACGTAATCAAACTCAACATTTAAAGGGGATTCTTCCGACTCACCATGCACTGCCATAGGGCAGCCACAGTCGTCGAGTCTCCTGTATCACAAATTTGGTGGAAATTTCACGTTGGCACAGCAATTGGCTCAGCCCTTCCGTAAAACGACCACCGACTGTAGAATCCCTACAAAGCAATTTACGAAAATTTTAAGTCGAAAGCAATATAGATTACTCGCACGTGTCGATCCATGGGGGAGCAGCGGAAAATGCGATGAGCTGACTCGGGATTTGAACTCAGCCAACTTTGTCGCGCGTTGCATCGACGATCAGGTCTCTTTCTATTGCTGCATGCGCCCGTACGTTCAGGTGGTGGGTCAATGGCAACGTTGAGGTCTGCGAGCCACGAGAGGGCTCCAGAAGAGACTCGGTGTCGTCTTGCTCTTCCTTCTGCCCTTGAAAGAACGCAGACTACAGTGGTTTGCTATACGATCCATGCGCCACGAATGATATTGTAAAATTATATATATATAAGCCAACATTTGATATACACACGCTCTACTCGAGTTTATGCTTATTGAGAATTAAACTCAAACATTAACAAATATGGCATCTGGGCCTATGCAAATTACCGCTCGGAGGTTGATTTTATTTCTCGCACAGAGCAGTGTCACTTCCAGGTCTCAGTGCTGATCACAAAATAGCTACGGTATATGCACACGATCTCCATCATCGGTGAACCAAGTAATTCGCCGCCCGTGTAGTATGATGATGAAATCCGATGGAAGCGAGGGAAGCCCGCGAGAGAAGCATGCGCTAGACACTCAGCCGCACGAGTTTGATCCCCGACCACGGCTCACATCACTGACTAGTAATAATGTGAACCGGTCCTGGGCTTAGACGCCCTGTCATCAACCGGCACTTTCCAGCGTGGTCATGTATGGTCAAACACACTCCCACGAAAGGCACGGCGTTGGGAGTCCTTCATCCGGCAGTGGATTTACAGAGAGTCGTAGTCGATGTACAAATAAGACTGAGCGCTCAGTTGAACGTCCGATTTGACGCATTGGTCGGTGTGTGTGTGTGGGTTCGTGACACGTGCGTGTGCGTGTTGCGGTGTGGGGAGCGGTAGTGTAACGGTTAGCGCGTTGCGCTACGAACGGCCAACCCCAGTGACGAGTATCCGAACCGGTCCTGGGCCTCACCTAAGTCGACTCAGCCTCAAAAGAGTAGCTGGTGCGGTGTGTAAAAACATCGTCACTGCGGAGACAAAGGCGGCCTGGCTTCGTGCTTCCCACTCCACCCCCGTCGTGTACTCGCTAACAGCACGTGCTCCCAAACAGGCTATACGGGGTGTCTTTGTCTTTGTGTGTTGCGGTGGGTGAGGGAGGGCAGGGTTGCACGTGGAGTGAGGTGTGCCCCGTGGGCATGGGCGGATGATAACCAGTCCAATATCAGCGCTAATGAGAGAGAGAGAGGTGGGTGTGGGAATGCAGAGTAGGGCTTAGAGGTTGACGTATTGCGTAGGGCCTATCTATATACTGTACTGTATATATCTATAAAACAGTCGGCCAGAGCACAAAACTGATGATGGAATCGCAGCCAAAGGTGGGAAACGCATCCGCGGGGAGACGACCATGCATGTATGTATGTTGAAATTCTTTCGCACCGTACGTAGCCAACCGTGAAAATCCAAGGTGCGAGGGAAAGACAACAAACTAAACACGAAAAAGCAGTTCTAATAAGAAATTAGTTTTCAGTCTAGATTCGAACGTGCATAGCCCCAGTGGCTTCCTAATATCGGAAGGAAGAGCGATCCACAGACGGTCACGATGGCTCGCCGTTGAACCAAGACGATCAAAAAAAGCCGCTGTGAGGATGACCGGAGTTCGCTTGATGACCGTCGTGGTGGAGCGATGGGTTCAGTTCCCGAGGAAGGGGCGAGATGGATGGTTGCAGTGGTGAACCGTCAAGGATGGCGAGGGCGTGAGTCGGCAGACCTTCATCGAGCAGTGCATAGAATAACGTTGATGGTGATGGAAAGAATAAGCATCGGCTCAGATGGGCGGCGCTGCGGTTATGTTGTCCAACTGACAATGGGGTCACTCTCAATTCTCAGTTGGGATCGACTCAACCCATCATAGTGTCAGCTCTCCAGGGTCGATAAAATAGATATTGCTCTGTGAATCGTCAACATTTGAATGTTGTGTGGGTAAGATGGTCCCCACCATAGGAATGTGGAATTTCATGGGTGGCGAGGGGTTTCTAAGAGGTGGTACAGCAAGTAGGTTCACGGCCGATCGGTTCATACATTCGGTGTTATCCCATTGTGTGGGCTTCCTCCGGACACCACCGGTCTCTCTCCGTGTGAGAAAATTACCCAAAGAATTTGGCATTACGGGGACTCCTGTATTTACAAACATTTTCAGAGATACGAACAAACTTGTCCGTATGTCCAGTTGCCTGTTCGGACCGAGACTCGTAAGTTTAACTTCCGCGCAATAGACGATGGTGGTGGCATCTACATCAGAACATGTTGATCCAGTGGCATCTACGTCTGCAGGAGGTTTTCCCGTATAAATAAAGTCATTAAAAAACATCGTATAATAGGCCCGCAAAAAGTTATGATAATTAAAATTCCGTACTATCATTTAACTCTTTGAACTTGATATTTTTTAACTATTTCAAAGAGATATGTCTTGTGATAAAACATTTTTTTTATTACACTTCCTCTTCATATTGTTCGAAATCGTTGCTTGTTTACGCTGTCTTGTTATTTTTTTACTGTCATGCTTAAGTGACTTGAAAAGGATACTTTTTGATCTCAATGGGCTCTCACCAGGGCGTGACGATAATTATGATGCTGACGGTAATAATAATTACTTATTTCACACAGGAAGCCAAGGACTCGTTTTTGTTTTCCAGGAGAGTCCTGCATTGTATGCGTTTTTTCAATATTAAGATATTTCAGACAATTTAGCGAGAAACCAGAGCACCTGCAGAACACACACATGCAAGGGGGAAACACTCTATCCCCATAAGAGATTGGACAGATGATATTAGTCCACTCTTGCTGTACCGCCTTCTCCTGGCGAGCCGTGGTATGGCACCCCAATGTGAGAGTGAGTGAAGAGTGAGATTTGCAACGTTTGTGTGCAATCCACCAACACTCCGCCACCACGGTGCTGGATTACAGGCCGCGTGTGTAACCACCACCACCACCAGGCTACATGATGATGATAATGATGAAGTGGAAGCAATAGTAGATGCAAAACAAGGGAATGATTTACAAAAACACGCACAGCAATCTTCAAAATAATTCAACTCAGTAATGTTGTAACTGCTAACTACCACACAGCAACTGCCATACATATAACATATTAAATTAATGGAACTGGTTAAACGTTCTGATGCAGGACATTCTTGATAATTGTTTTATTTATTGAGACCGAATAAGGCTTTCCTGGGTAATTGAACTGAATAAGGCTTTTCTGGATCAATAAATTATTGCCATATCACTCTGATGCCACATTACTATTGCGAACAATGTCCTAACTTAGACACCAACGGCCCTTCAACTCAGAATTGAGCAACGTCTCTTCATTGCACTCTGGTCTGAAATGTCACAGGTCGAGCATGACGTGTTGATGCGGAGACTGGCTTTGCTCTTCAAATCCACGGTTGGACTCCTGTGAAGATGACCATCCAGGAACGACAACCCTCGTGTCATCTCAGCCGGGTGTTGCTCTGAGTACATCACTCCGCATCCTCCTGCTCACCACCACCATCATCATCATCACCGTCGTCGTCATCATCGTCGTCGCAGTGAAGAGCGTGCCCCTTGGGCGCGCAATCATGCTCCTCGCCACGTTGAGAGAGCCCCACAGCCTCTCCCACGGCAAGGGCTCAAGATGAGCGAGTCTCGGCACGGCTTTGTGCTGCTGCTGCTGCTGATTACCATGCCGTCAACACTGCCACCGTGCGCGGCAATGGATTTATCGACGTTTGGACGAGTCGACATCGTCAAGGATGAACGCGGCGCACAAGCCCTCTCGGCGTTCTCGTCCGCCACCGCCGGTGCCCACAAAACATATTCCTCGTCTACATCATCATCTGCTGCCGCTGCCTCGTCCGCTCCGTCGGAGAGCCAACGACTCCTGCAAAAGGACCTCGAGACGCGGCTGCTGGAAGTGTTCGGCCTCAAGAGGCGACCGAGGCCCAGGCCAGGCGTGGCGGTATCCCAGTACCTCGTGGACGTCTACCGCCTCCTGCAGAGCGCAGCGCTGGGGTCGACCGGCCCGGGGGGGTCCCGAGCGGCCTCCGCGTCAGAGTTGGAATCCGACTTAGGGTTCGCGGAGCGAGCGTCGGCCAAGGCCAACACAGTGAGGGGCTTCCACCACGAAGGTAAAAGGGGGGGGGGGGGTGGTTATTGGGGGTCCGAGGGTAATGTGACCGGGGAGGTGGAAAAGCACGGCCAGGGGCAGCAGTGTGAGATGCGTTTTAACGACGGACAATATCACGTAACGCACGTGCGGGAGTAATGCACGGCGGTGTTGGAAGTGGGTTTGAAGGGCTGCCGGCCAGCTGTTATCTTCCACATTTTGTAAAAAAAAAAATGTTTGCATATAAGAAAAGGGAAATTCAAAAATGTTGGTCAAAATGAACCTAATTATATATAATGTACAATATTAATATATGTGTATATCAGTAGGGTCTCTCTTGCAACAGTATACGATTTGGGTAGCATAACAGAAAGGGTTTAGCAAAGCCTGACTCTGCTGATGAGGACCCAGAAGATCGAACGGGCACTCAGAGGTGTTCTTAACTCAAACGCGGTTGTCAACATGTGGTCCAGAAGGCCCACTGGCTCATGGAATAGAGAACAAGCACGTGGAGGGACGGTCGTTCGTCTTTATTTCTTCACCACATTGCTCGGCGAAAGATTGCCACGATCCTTTACACATCAAGGGCATCGCATTGCTCCTGTTGGGCGGAAATAAAATATCTAGGATGTATCTGTCGAATGCAATAATTGCAATTCGTTTTCTAATTATCATGGTTTTTTTTTGTTTACGCGTAAAAAAAAATGCAGATCGTCCCAACTGTTGTATCTGTCACCTTTGCGCCCACAGAGACACGCTACCTTAGGGGGTTTCCTTTTATAATGTTTATAATTTTTAAGATGAAACGTGGTATAGAGCACTCTGATGAGACACCCCAGGGTGTTTTTACTTAAAAAAATGAATAATTATCATCGTAGGTAATTATAAAGCAGATTCAGAATAAACACCGTGTATCGATAAGCATGGTAATGTTGCTTTGGTGGAGACATAGACCCTAAAGAGGCACAGATGGTCTCATGCGAAATAAAATAGTGTCATTTCACGTTCGAGGTCTGCGGAATCGGACATCGTAGGTTTATTTCCCCGAGTAAAGTCCGTGGAGCCGTTTCGCTCTTTTTCAAATGTGACTCGGCCAGCATGCAAAATTACACTCACTCTGCGAGTATCGGCACGATACAAGAAAGTATAATATTCAATTTTCAAACACGCCAGGTATGTATGTTGTACGCTACGTATGTTGAAATTATTTCGCGCCGTATGTAGCCAAACCGTGCTAATCGTAGGTGCGGGGAAGGACTAACAAACTAAACACAAAAAGCAGTTCTAAAGAAATGAATTTTGTTAAAACTAAAACTACCAAACAATATTTAATATTTTTATAGAGTATTGATCAACATAGCAACAATGACAACTCGACTGTTGCATCAATATTTGAGCGGGAGTCAAATGTTTTGGCAATGTGATGATCACAAATATTCCCAAAAAACAATGAGCCAAAAAATGGGCCTTTATTATTCTTAGCCGCGTATATAGCTGTAGAATTATAGAATAAATTTAACAGAATTAGCAATTAAAGAATGACACCCGAGTACTTTGAATATCCTTTCCTTGAAACGTGTCAGCCACCTCTGTGTAATTTATATATAACAAGCGGCAGGGTATAATGTGTGTGTACTTTACACACACGCATCAACGTGTTTATCATGGTGTGCTCGTATATCAAGACATACAGAGTGTGAAATCACCTTCAACTAGAAAGGCAATGTCCTCCCGTACGTATACTCTACACCATGTAAAACACATCGAGATAACGGATGTCTCGATGGGTGACACACCTCAGTGCTAGACAATGAACACTTGGTGCAGTGTTGTCCCCAACGCCTATTCAACGCAGAGTACCTCCGATTATCCCGGTTTGGCTACGTACGGTGCGAAAGAAGTTCAACGCACTCTTCGGTTCTTTCGGTGAAGTCCCGTAGGTTGAAATAGAATAAAACGACGTTTCGATCGCAACACAAGCGGCCGTCATCAGGCAGAACCGACACAGCAGGACAACATCGCGATCGAAACGTCGTGATTTATTTTATTCTATTTCTACCCACGTGACTTTACCAAAAGAACCAAAGAGTATGGATTCCTGCAGTCACGAAAGCTTCAAATCGAGTTCAACGTACATACGTTATAATCAATCGCTGAGACGAAGGCTGCCTCCCTCCCCACGCTCTGTCGGTCATTCGCGAGGTTTGTTGTGAGCATGCCTGCCTCACCACGCCACAGGTCTCTGGCGACAGAGAATCCCATAGCAGAGCTCATGAATAAGGGGGGGTCCCCCGATTTGTATCCTACTCGGGGTCTCTAGGGCCCCCTGGTCAGTGCAGGTTGGTGTAGGGAGGGATTTGGGGCGTGGGTTGTAGGGCCGGTTTAGACATCACTCGTCACTGATAATAGTCGCGTCCGACAATTGAACGCGGGTGCCAGATGTTCATATTGGAAAGCGCTAACCACTGCGCCACCGCTCCAGAGGAATACATATTTTTTTTAGCAAATTTCGAAGCTGAAAATAGTGGTGCGTGCTGGTAAAGCAACTTACGACAAGACTGCACGCTCAAGACACTCGCCTGCAGTGATAGCGAGGTGCCTGTAAGCAGTACAGAAAGCAGGTTTCAGATCTTGATGTGTGGAGTTGGAATCTTGTTTTCTCTTCTTTTCCCGACATGATAAGGTTGGTGATGGTCATTCGGGTGGATTTAGAGTGCTGCTGCTGATACTACTTCTGTTACTCCTGCTACTGATGATGATTAGGATCATAATAATTGATTAAGAACGCTGCTGATGGTTAAAAGAATGCTGCTGATCATGATGATATGGTTATGCTGCTTATTGTGCTTTGGCAATGCTGCCCATGCTGATGCCGGATTAAGAATAATCTTATTGTGGTTGCTGATTATGGGGGTGATAACGATGTCCATTAATTGGATACTCTAGCCGTTTTAATAACGAATGATGCCAGATTGAGCACGCTGCTGCTGCTGATGCTGATGATATAAAAGAACGAAAACGAGAGGATTAAGATTGATGCCATGTCTGCGAACGCGAATTATAACGATGGTGGTTGTGGTGGTGGTGATGATGGTGGCGGAGTTGGGAATGAACGCTGTTGCTGCTACTGATGTTGCTGCTGCTGCAGATGATGATGATGGTGTTGACAGTGGTGCAAGTTGTGGCAAGTGAGTGTTCGTTGCATCTGCCGATGAGTAAACCCGTCATACTGAGCGCAGGGCAGTCTGGGATTCATTACAGCTGGAGCTGTCCGGGGCTGAGCGCTGGAAAATATTCCCACGCACGAAATGTGTCCATGAGAAAGTCGAATTAAAAATATCGGATATTACTAAATGTACGTGGCGTCTATAGCGGCATCTAGTGGTGTGAGAGCTCACGTGTATGATCCACCGCTAAATGAGGGCCTCACCGCGCCGTTTGGGTCATCAAGGTTAGTTGACCATACTTCACCACGCTGGTCAGTGCCGATTGGTGAAGGCGGGGTAGCTTAGACGGGGGGGGGGGGGGGCACAGAAGTACAGTGCAGTGCAGCAACTGATTATCGTTGGACTACCCTCTGATGCCCACCACATATCCCACAGCGAAAATCACTCGCCACGGACGCGAGCACTGGTGGGGAATCGAACTCGGATCACCGGAGTTCATTGTACCAGGGCGCTAACCACTTGCGCCACCGCTCATCGACCCGTTTGCGAACTTTGCCTTTTTAAAAGGAGCCGTCACAAACGCGTAACTAAACACGACCACGCGAAACATTTTTTTTTACAGCCAGGATATGCAACAAATTACTTTACGAGTTAAATTGTCTTTAACTCAAAACATTGTGAGCGGTTCCAGAAAACTGTCGGTTCAAATGAGTGCGCCAAAATGATGATACTAATGCCGTGAGAATGCTGATGTGCGTTCAAATATTGCTTCTTCTGCTGCTGCTGATGATGATAATAAGGACGCACGGATGATGATGCTTCTGCTATTGCCAATGATGATTGTATGATGATGATGATGATTTGAGAATGCCGCTTCAGCTGCCGATAGTGACGATGATGCTTTTGGGCATGAAAAATATGAACAGAGTAATTGTGAGTGGGTATCGGATAGACACAAGCGGGCCCAATTCATTGGACACGTTGCTCCTTGTATAATGTACACATGCAGCCCTTTTGTTAATCCACTGCTGGATGAGGGCTGGATAGTTGAGGGCCCCCCACATCATAGCTGTTCGTATGGTGGAGGATTATTTGACCATACTTCACCATGCTGGCCCTTTATAATACAGAAATCACATTCAAGAGTCAACAAAGTGTGCCATCACTCACACAAGCAATTTGTGACGCACGCATTTCTCCATTGGCAGCCCTTAACCGATGACGGGGACCAGTATATCTAAAAAATAACACCCACAATTCACTTCTCACTAAGTGGTATTTGCCCATTGTATCGACCTGCAAGGACGGATAGGCGTAGTGGACATGCAACGTTTCGAAGGTTTCACTGTCCCTCCAGCCACCGCGAATAATTAGGAGTTTCGGATAATAGGTTTGCGGAATAATAGAGCCGCGGATAAGAGGAGTTCTGTATGTGGAAAATAACGTTTCACGTCTACTCCCTGCATGTAATTAACATTTCATTCTATTGTCTTGTCCACTAGAGGACGCTGTTTTCATTGGCACCCACAGCATGCAGGAGTTGGAGTCTTATAAAAGCCAACATTTTCCCCACGTTCTATTATTCAGACACAGTAACGCCCGTGCAACTGTCAAGTCTAATGAATGGGACCTTATTGTTGTTGTTGTTGTTGTTTAAAGGCGGCTGACCCGGTGCTATGCAATACATATCTACAATGAAGCAAACGCGTCGATTCGCGCTTGAGTCGTGTTGAATAAATAGCCGGGCCTCTGTGTGAACAGCCTCTGTCTGATGCATATTAAAACCCGTTGAAAGACGTGCCTTCACAGCTATAGTCAATTGACGTGTCCAACAAAAAGAAGTTTGTCATTTAAAAAAACACGTTTAAAGCTACTAGCGGGGGTCTACAGCGAGCTGTGTGTCAAAGCGCATGCGTCTGTACAACGCGGATACAATGTAGTGTCTGCATAATATATGTCCTTTCCATACGTACAGCGGTGAGCATGTGCATGTTAGAGCGCTTTTGTCAATCCACTGCTGGATGAGGGCCTGTTTACGTTGTGTGGGTTATCTGAACGTGCTTGGTGACGGCATGGGGGGCATAGAAGCACAGTACAACAATGCATGTTGCTGCACTGCTCTGTCATATATAAGTCCAAAAGTCAGGACACATAGGGTTATTATACTTAGTGGAACAAAGCACATAGGGTTATTTCAATGATTTTAGCAAATGTTCAAACTGACTTCCGTTAAAATGTATGCATGCATATACATGCGTTCTCTTTCAAATTAATTTTTGACTTTATTCAGTACATGTTCTTACCATTTGAAATGTAATTTCAATATAGATAAACATCAACTTCAAAAATGTACTATTAAAATATTTTAATGCCAGTGTCAATATATGTATTATACCTAATGTTTTCTGACTTTTGGGTTATGCCGGGTCTTCAGGTTTTTCCCTCCACATTTAGAAACATGCGGTTAGAGTATTTGGCTGCTATACATTTCCACATTCTAAGCCACTTCGTTGAGCTATAATTTGTGGGCAGGTCGCTTCTGAAAAAAGAGCTAGAGAGCTCAGTGAGCCTGACCTGGTAAAACATATCTATATATATCTCTATATATACGGTGTTCTTTGAATGCATGTCATCAGTTTCAACATGCCGATTACACAGGCACATGAACCTGGCACACAACTGTGATTCTAATCAAATCTAATTTTATTTTTTTAAAGTGCGCATTCACTTCACGTAGTTTAAGCAACTGGTGACGGGAGAGAATGATTTTGATCGCAGGTGCATGCAAGGATTGAAGAATGAGTGACTGTGATAGAGGGATACTTAGGGATCACGAAGGAGTAGGAATGGGATGGGACAGAGTGGAGGGATGAAGGAAGGAAGAAAATGGCAAAGAGAGAAGCTGTAAGCTGAGCATCAGTCACAAGTGGCATCAGACTTTGCCCTGGGCCTTCCCTAGATTGACTCAGCCTTCAACGAGCACCTAATTCAATGTGTAGAGGCATCAGTACTGGGGAAACAAAGGTGGCCGGGCCTGATGCTGACCACACCTGCACACTCATCTGTGGTACTGGCCTCTTTTTTAAGTGCTTACTAACAGGACTTGCTCCAACAATCTTTATGGCAACACAGGGAATCTTTGTCTGTGTGTGTGTGTTTGCATCTACACCTCTGTATATGTAGTCTAAGCAATATATGCATAAATTACGATTTTTATTTTTCTTTAAAAATCTGTAAATATCACTGTCTTATGATTCCAGTTTCCTCAGGTTCTATTTCTGACCATCAACGACACCAGTGGCAATTGGATTCTGAACTTAGCCGCCACTGGGTAGACTGGGCACTCACAGTGAGCACGTCTCCCCACTGCCAAGAATGTTCTGTCCACTTTTTGTCCAAGTCTCACTTCTCTTTCAAGGTGTTTCCTGGCCACGCTGCTTCATCAAAGCCTTGCCTATGCTTTGCACTCCCATCGTGTTTTTGTATTGTATGTTGTTGTAGTAATTTTCTGACCCCCCCCATCCCTACTGGACATTTGTGGGGGAAAAAAGAGCTCTATAACTCATCGGATTCCTCAAGCATCAATATAAATTCTGAGTCTGAAAACAACAACAACAAAAACTGACCCAGTGATCCCATCCCACGTGCGCGCGAGCAGATTCGTTGGAGGAGCAGCCGTACCGCAGCGAATCGGCGGCGGCGGCAGCGGCGTCGTCATCGTCTTCCCACCACCACCAACACCACCACCTGGTCTTCGACCTGTCCAGCCTCCCCGCCGACGAGTGGGTGCACGCTGCTGAGTTGCGCCTCCACCGGGCCCGGCTGCGGCCCCAGCGGCGCCCGCTCCGCGTCAACGTCTACGAGGCGGCGGCGGCGGCGGCGACGACGCCGCTCCTCGACTCGCGGCTCGTGCACGACAACGCCACGCGCTGGGAGAGCTTCGACGTGAGCGCCGCCCTCCAGCGACGGGCGCTCGGCGGGCGGCCCGGCTCCAGCCTCGGCCTCCTCGTCGAGCTGCTGCCGACCCCCGGGGAGGACGCGGCCGTCGACGGCGACGACGGCGACGACGGCGGCGGCGGCAACGCCGGCCACGTGCGCGCGAGCCGGGCGGCCGCGCCGCCCGAGGACCTCGACTCGTGGCCACGGCTCAGGCCGCTGCTCGTCACCTACGGCCACGACGGGAGGGGCGGCCGAACGTTGGGCGAGGCCAGGGCGAGGTCCCGGCGGGCGTCGGGGAGGCACGCGGGCGGCCGGCGGCCGCGCGTGCTCTGCCAGCGCCAGCCGCTCTACGTGGACTTCCGCGAGGTCGGCTGGGACGACTGGATCGTCGCGCCGCCGGGCTACAACGCCTACTTCTGCCAGGGCGAGTGCCCCTTCCCGCTCGCCGACCACCTCAACTCGACGAACCACGCCATCGTGCAGACGCTCGTCAACTCGGTGAACGCGAGCATCCCGCGCGCGTGCTGCGTGCCCACCGAGCTGAGCCCCATCTCCATGCTCTACATGGACGAGTATGAGAAGGTGGTGCTCAAGAACTACCAGGACATGGTGGTGGAGGGTTGCGGCTGCCGTTGACTCCCTGCCGGTGATGCGAACGTCGGTGCTTGCGAGTGGCCGTGAAGGTTTTTTCGCGGTGAACCTTTGCCAGATCGAGTGAACGCAGAGGCTCGTCGAGTGTGAAGATGCAGATGATGGCCCAGTGCTTGCAGAGGCTCTGAACGCCAGCGAGGGAGCGCTATGCTGGCCTCGCTGGCATTCTGGGAACAAGTCCAGGTTTTTCTTCCACCCACCGTGATCAAACCAGTTTCTCAGGCATAGTAAGTAAGTTGACAGTCTCTGCCAATTCACCAATGAATTCAAAAACAATCCATCGCATTGGATGAAGTGCTTCGCATAATTCCGAATATTACAACTTCCGAGAACTGAAAACGTCCAGTTGTGTTGCCTTCTATCGACGAACGCACACTGTGTGCCCCACAAGGAGTGGACAGGAGGCAACCGGGCCGACCTCAGAAGTAGTTCTACGACATCATTTTCCGGGACCCATTACAAGACCACACCGCTCATTTTGAGCTTTTCCCTTTTTTCGTTTTGGTCTCTGACGTGACATGGACAGCGCAACTAAAATATATTCTGTATATTTATATAAACAAAATATTCCAAAAATATTAACAGTATGAAGCTGAAAGTACTCGAGCATGATCTTCGTATGAAGGAGTTTGCTGAGAGTGCAGTGCCTTTGTAGGGAGAACTTTTGAATCCAGCTCACAGACTTTTTGTCAGGCAAGGTGGTGCACACCTCGCTGCTTTCGACAGGGAGGTGGCGGTGGGAGTTGGTGGCTCACACAGGGACGCTAGCGTACGTGGGTCACCCACCTGCACGTCTGTGGCAATACCGGTCGAATGCAGTACAGCAAGTAGGTCGTGGGCCTAACTTCGCGGATTCTTGCCTGTTACCTCCTCATGTACAGGTGTATTGTCTGGGTGCTGTGGTTTCATCCCACACACAATATACTTTTAAAAATATGATTTGAATACATTCCCAAAAATAATCTTTTTGAAAAGGGGCCTTGAGACTCAGTGACGTGTGCTTGGATAATGAAACTACTTATTATTATAAATATTGTGAATGGAAAACCACATACAAATACAGAGTTCCAGTCCCCGTGTCTTGCCCTTGGTAAATGGACATGAATGTCTAACAACAATGTATTTATACCAAGGCCCTGTTGAATCATACCGGTGAGACTGGCCAAGTTGAAATGCATGCCTTGGCAATTATTGTTCTCATCCAAACTTGTGTAAGGTATGTGTGTCTGTGCATTTATGTTATAGGGTGTAATGATGCACGAAACTCATCATTTAATACCCATTATTTCAGCTGACAATCCACACATCAAATTTGCCAGTTTAATAAACCAACATTTTTTGCGGGTTACATATGTTGTACGTAATGGGTACAACATGACCCCGCCCCAACTCACCGCCACTAACCACTCGAGGCAGCTACATTCAGCAGTGTTAATTTTACAAAAAATCTACGATTTTAATCGAATCAGGACTCTTGAATCGCGACGAACCATCGAATTGCCTTGGTGGGAAAGGGGGGGGGGGGGTTTGCACCGCTACGCCCATTGCTGCTACGTACACATGCAAACGTGCCCAAGGGGGCTCAGAACGAGGCCAGGCGTTAAACGAGACAACTGTGATGTAAGCGGGGGGGGGGGGGGGGGGCTGTGTTTGTCGATCGCCGCACTGACAAACGGAACGCGCAGTGGGATATCCGCTTGGGATTTACATGGCTCTGCGTTTTTCACAGACGTTCGTATAACGTTTTTTTTTTTTGCCAGAATATGCACGGACGTGTTAATCAAACGCAACGCATCTCAGTTCATGTTTACCCGGAGATTAATGTACCATCGATTGGCATGCTTAGTGCATTTGCAATTCATTGTATTCCACTCGTTCGAGAAGGACTAAGGCACGGTGCACAGCATTCATACGATGTTTCAGGGACAGCCTCCAAGCACTTTGGATGCTTCAATGGTCCATCTTGCACATTGTTTGCATGGTAGATTTTTTTAAAATCAATCTTTGACTGAATTTCGATTTAAAGCTTTCGTGACTGCAGGGATTCATCTTCTTGGTTCTTTCGGTAAAGTCACGTAGAAGGGAAATAATAAAATAATGCTTAATATTTTTTATTTTATTATTTCCCTTCTACTTGCCTTTACCGAAAGAACCACGAAGATGAATCTTTGACTACTTACGACAAAGCCGCTATAGAAGTTACGTCAAGTGGTCGTGAAATTCGGTGATGATTCGGACAAACTGGGCCCCCCTACGTCGCTGTGATTGCGCACCTCTCGTCAGCGCACAGCCTCGGCAAATGACTTGCGACCAAATTCATCGCGCGACGGCTTCCTCCGAATTCACGAACGTTTGGTCGATTTGACCTCGTGGCTATTACAGCACCGTCACCACTCTCCATCGCCTTTGAAGAAAGCTGGATAGGACACATTGCAAGAGGCGATTTCTGGTGACACCGTTATTCCACTCCCCACCACCGCTACCACCACCGTGCTATGAATCAGGAATCAAGCAGGTTCACGCCTGCTGGTAGGGCTAATCTGATTTGCACTCACCGAAACCGGAGTGCATTCGGACGTAACGCGGCACCCAACTGGCTACTGATCACAGAGGCGCAATGGCTCTGAGAGTAAAGCGTCGACTCCCTGGACCCCCCGCGATCTTACACAAACACGGCATTTACAATCCTCCCCGTCTTACTTTGTGCAGGTGAGAGAACATTTGGCGGAGTGTCGCAGGACTGACAATAACCCCCCCCCCCCCAATACTGGGAGTGTTGGAGGGTGGGGGGTCATGACTGCGTGAACTGCAGCTGCAAATTATTGTTGTTTTTATTTGCGACGGCTTCCCATGCAGTCGGCGCTGGTGACCGTGTTGAGATGGTAAAACTGGCTAACACGGAAACAAACAAAACCTGCTTTTCATCTCTGGTGGGAACCTAAGATCAGATCCTAAGGCCTCTTGCAGCTCTGGCTCGATGTTCAGACACGTTCACGACATGAGTTGCAGTCAGCCACATGCTGCCTCGATACTCTATTAATCGTTTATAAGCCATCGTATTCTATACAGAACATATCACTTTTACAGAACTGGTATACGAGCATAAAAGTGGTGCCTTGTGGTTTACGCGTTAAGCCTTGTGGTTTGCTTGGTGTCCTAGTGTGCACGCGTAACCCTTTCCACATGTGGACCAATGAAATTGTTTCAACGCCCCGGACTTCCTCAGCTGTTGACGGCCCTTGTATGTGCGTGTGCGTCTCTCTGTATACGTTGGGACGAGTCAAACACGTTTGGGAGAAAGAGGTACTCAATGGAGTGGTGCAGGGACTTCACATTAAGCTATCGGGAGTATCCATTCATCGTTACGTTTTCTACCAAACGCAAGATATTACCGTCAGGCACGGATATAGTAGAATTCCTCTTGTCCTCAGCGATGTAGGGGACGAACTCTGCTGATAATAGGATCAGCAATGAATTTTTTTGGGTGAGATCGCGTGAATATAAATGTGTCGTTAAATCCGACACCACCCGACACAGCCAGCCAGCTAAGTAAGGTTTGTCACGTTAACGAAACGTGCCAGTTAGTCACTAGTTCAGCACACCGGTGTTGGAGAGTAAACCCACAACATCTACAATTTGAGTACAGTGACGTTATTTGCCATTCCACAATGTAGGACGTGAAAAAACCGTGGTAGGCTGCAGGTAATAGGAAGAAGAGAGGGCACGGATAATCGGTGTTCTACTCTGCTGTACATGAAGCTATGGTGGTGCTGTGGCAGAGTACTCCACTCACAGCCAGAAGGCTTGAGTTCAAAGCTCGGTCAGGGGTCAACTCAGCCCCACCTATCCCTCTTGGGTCAATAAGATAAATGCCACTTTGTGAAAAAAGTCAGCAATGATTGTTCTGTCGAGGTAATGGCAATTGTAAAAAATAACGTGGAATTTTCATTTCAACCACCGACTAAGTGTTGCCAGTGGAAATGAGCACTGACCAACGATCACTTGAGGAAGGAGACACGTTGAATTTGTAACTCCAAAAATAGCGGAATCATTTTAATATAAATGTAATGAATGTGTTTATTGACCAGTGTATTTAGTTATCGTTTCATAAACTGGCTCAGGCAATGTCTAACTAGGTCCGCCACATATTTGTTTGCAAGCTTAACGTTGTGTTGAAGGCAATTAATATATTATTGATTATGGGTGCAGCGATGATACGGTGGTTTGTAAACTACGCAATGAATCCCTGTGGCCCGAGTTTGACTCCTGGCTGTGGCTAACATCGGGCGGTGAGTAATATCTAACCCAGTCCTGGGTCACCCTTCCATCCTTCACCATGGATGGTTGGCTACGTATGGTGTAAAAGAAGTTCAGCATACATACATTGAACAGTGTGGTTAAGTATGGCTAAACAACCCCAACGAAAGACAAGGCATGAAGAGACATTTATTCAGCAATGAATTGCAAGAGGATTGGACATTATTAAATGATTGAATAGATATTAGAGTTTCGATTTAAAGCTTTCGTGACTGCAGGGATTCATCTTCTTGGTTCTTTCGGTAAAGTCACGTAGAAGGGAGAAAAACATAATAAAACTATTTGTATTATGTTTTATTTTTATTATTTTATTATTTCCCTTCTACGTGCCTTTTCCGAAAGAACCAAAAAGATAAATATTAGAGATATCACCAAATAATATACTAAGCAGAAATATAGTACTGTATTTATATTGCATTTTGAATATGTTCAATTCGATTTTCTTAAACCTACTCAACGGATGTTGTTTTGTTGATAATTCACACCCAACAATGGTACAATAGCAAATCTTACCTAAGCAATGTGTCTCCGTGCTCAAATAATCAATGTTGGGGAAATACCATCTTGGTTGATATTGCCAACCATTCCTCAAAGAGGTACTCATTTACGCACCACTGCGGGGATGATGGGTCTCCAGACCAAGCGAGCCCCAAACTGCATTTGAACTGGCGGCCTTCCAAGAGCGAGTGGGGAGCTATGTTAGAGCGCCACCTTGCTGGATCACGTGGAAGGTGACGCAGCCAACGTGCTCCGTCTTGCCAACAATGCAACAATGGCTGGGTTCTTCTCTTGCGATGATGGCGCGTTGGGGAACAGGATAGCGTCTAGACTGCGTGTCATGTAGGGGGAGAACTGAACACATTTCATTTTGTTATGTCTCCTTTTTATTTGTTAAGTGCAAAAAAAACCTAATGAAAAATTATACCTATTTCCGTTTGATCCCATATATTTCAAGAAAAACTCATCCCTCCTTATAACGTTTTATTACCAATGAAAATGAAAATCCAGAAGCGGTTGTCGAAAGTAGGAGCAGCAGGATTTTAAACACGGAACAGGCTGCTCACATGTGCACTTATTACCCCCCACACCCCACGATCAAAAGCTAAGGTAACGTATTGTTTAAATTCTTTCCCACGTCTTCTTGGTTCTTTCGGTAAAGTCACGTAGAAGGGAAATAATAAAATAAATAAAAATAAAACATAATAAAATAATTCTCACGACGTTTCGGCCACAACGCAAGCAGCCGTCCTCAGGTGAAGAACAAGTCTGTCGGAAAGACAGCGTCATTCAGGTCTGTCATTCAGACGCTGTCTTTCTGACAGCCCTGTTCTTCACCTGAGGACGGCTGCTTGCGTTGTGGCCGAAACGTCGTGATAATAATTTTATTATGTTTTATTTTTATTATTTTATTATTTACATTCTACGTGACTTTACCGAAAGAACCAAGAAGATGAATCCCTGCAGTCACGAAAGCTTTAAATCGAAATTCTTTCCCACGTTTTAAAAGTTACAATTGGTCAAATTCAAAGTGTTTCTACGCTTAAATGAGCGTTCAGCTGTGCTCCACTCCATTGGCCCTTGAGCCGATAGTCAAAATCCCCCATTGCCTTTGGTGGGGGCCAGTATTTGCCTATAACGACCATCAATATACAGGGTTGATCCCACGTATAAGCATCCCACCATTAAAAGAATAGCGAGAAATTACAGAGAAAACAACCTTCTACGTCAACGCCTTTGTGCGTTTTCCACCATTCCCCATTGTTAATAAGAAATCAGTGGGGCGTTAATCAATGAATCACCCTGCCCTGCATTGGTCTCCCAGACCCACCGATTGAATTTGTATGCCTCGGTTCAAATTTGTGCAAAGTCAGAGAGTCTTTGTACTTTCTTGCTCAGACAAGCATTATCTCTCGACTGGTGGCCATTAGCTCTGCAAATTGAACCCAATATTTCCACATTCACAATAACTGTAAAATGACAGTATGGTAAATTTAATATCATGTGTATTGTGTATTGTTTTCGTGGTTGTGCTGTGCAGCTCTGCGATTTGTGTTTATGTTGTACCACTTGCTGTTCAGCACGATGCCTGACGTTTCACTCCAACTCGGAGGTAAATGCCAGACGTCATGTAGACCAGCACGGGTAACCACTGTTTAAAGTTTTAATGACTAAAGTTGAACTGCTGGATGTTATATCG